ATATCGTGTTTGTTATTTATGTTGTTCACATTCTGTGTATTCACCAGCGTTTTGCCCAGCTGACTTGTCAACAGTTTCAAGAGGTTAGCTCTGTCATGGATTTATCTTTTAGTGCAATTTTTTAATAGTTTGACATAAACAGCAGTGTACAAAAATTACCTAAGAGATTACTAAGCAACTATTACATACATTTCTAAAATAGTAACTGTGTTTCTGAATTTATTTTGTGGGGCTTTTCCTTTTATTTTTTTCTTTTGTTATTTCTTATTTTTTTCTTACCCTCTTTAATATGTACATTAAAGTAGTTATCCTCTTTAACAGTGGGTTTTTTTTTTATCTTGAAATGTAATTTTCTGATGTGAATACTACTCCCTGGGCTTTGTTCTTTTCAAATGAGCATTTGCCAGGCATATCTTTTTTCATTTTTTGACTTTTCTGTGGCTTTCATTTCAGGCCTATCTCTTGGACACTGTGTATTCACATTAGCTGGATGATCTCTGTTATTTGATTGCCAAGTTTAGTTTGCTTATTTTTATTTTGACTGTTGATTTACTTGGACTTGCTTCATCCATCTCAGTTTTTGACATTGGTTCCATTTCCTGTTGTGTTCTTCCTTTCCTTCCCCTTCAGTATTGATTAATTGATTGTTTTGCCTGCTTACATGTCACATTTCCTTTCTTCGAGTTAAAAAGCTTTAAAGATTATTTCTGTTTAGTGGTTATCCTTGTAATTTTGCCCTGCATGGGTAACACACTCTATAGATGTTTTATGTATTAGCCTCCCTGTTAGCAAGACCAAGACCTTAAAGTAGTAACTGCAGTTGTACTAATCCCAACTTCCTGTTAATGCTGTTCAGTATTTTAGTCCTTTTAAAAATCCCACAAAATAAAACTGATTGTTTTGACTTTAGAGACAATGTTTATTTAGGTTTTCCAATATATTAGCTTGTTAATTTCTATTTATTAAATATTAGTTGTACAAAGGGGTTTCATTGTGATATTTTCATACATTCATACAATATACACTGATTAAATTCACCCCTGTATTACTTCTCCTCATTCCCCTCCCCCTTCTAAAACAATTTTAACAGGTTTCATTGCTCTGTTTACTACATGTGTATAAAGCGTTTTGATCATCCTCATGTGCCCCCTCCACCCTCTCACCCATCCCCACTTGTCTTTTATTCTTGCATCTAATATTCCCTTTGTGTGGTTTCATTCTTCCAGAGGAAGTCGTTCTGCATACCATGGGCTATGCATTCCTGAAAGTGCCATCACTAAAAATGGCAGGTGTATAGAGAAATGGGGTCCTCGTAACCAGACAAAGCCAAGAGCAATCCTATAAAAAGATAGCACAGTTAATCTCCACTGATATGTGCACATCTGGTGTGTAAATCAGTCAGTGTTTTGCAGCCTTGACACCCCAGACTTAATCTGGCTCTCCTGTGAGATGCTGGGCTGGAAAGGATTTGCTTCCAGGGGATACCAGCCTTCTCCTGTGCCCAAGGTGACACATGTGCTGTGGAAGGCTCGCTGCCCCCACTCCTCTGGGGTCTTCTCCTCAGACTCCAGCCTTTTTTCACCTTGTCCCTGTGAAAGTGGTGCTTGCTGCTTGGATTCTGTCTCTGAGTACACAAACAGGAAATGGTCTCAGGGAACTCCTGGGTGGATGTGGGATCTTTGCTTCTTCCTCCCAGGGACAGCTGCCCTTGGGTTCATCTGTATCTACTGTCTTCAGGCAGAAAGGTCATGTGCTTTCTTCAGCTGGGGTTCAGGGGGAGGATTGGTCCACTTCAAGCTGCTTGTCATGGGCTGTAGTAGAACTGCATCAGGTATAGACTTCTACTGTTTATTCATTCTTTAGGATTCACTTTTATTTCTCACATATTTTATATTTCTCCTCTAAAAATTTTCATATGTGAAGACATTGGTGATGCAAATTGATTACTTGTCTTTTCTTTCTTTTGATTGTGGTAACCTTGCTTCCCATGTGTTTGTTGGTGCTTTTTAAGTTTGAGTGTGACCTTGTGTGTTTGTTAGTATTTTTTTATTTTCAGTTTGAATGTGACCTTGCATGTTTGCTGGTATTTTTTATTTCAAGTTCAAATGTGACAATTACTCTTTAGTTTTCCTGGGTCTTTGTGCATTGTTGTGTCCTACAGAAAATGAATTCCTTGCTTACCTTTCAGCTCTCCAGGGACAGTACTAGCCAGCACCATTCCAGATGTGTAGGAGAGAAATTCTTTCTGTGTCATGAATGTCTTGGGAATGTCGAGCTTAAATTCTGTCAAAATTCTGCTAGTCTCAGGCCAAATGTGGAAAGTTTTTGTTGGGAGGATTTGCAGGTGCTTTTCCCAGAAGCCCAGGGAGTACACGCTTGTTGGTGTTCTGCGATGCAGTTTGAGTGGGAGGCCATTTCTCATCTGCCTTGTGGCAAGTGTGGAGCTCAGGGCTTCTGTCCCAACATGTAGTCATATTCACACAAGGCCATTCTTTGGGTCAGCCTCAGTTTCTTCCTGGGGAAGGAAGTGAGGCACAGGGCGATGGCTGGCTTGTGACTGTTTGGAGTCCAAGTTCTCCCCACACTGCCCATGGTCATTCCTCTTGACTGTCTTCTATGTCAGTGATTTCATTCTGCCATTATGAATTCTTTTGTTTTTTAATAACCTGCTTCCAGTCAGTGGCAGTTTTCATCGTGATCCTTTCTTTTTTCTTGACCTGCGTGACTTAATTGACAACTTTTCTATGATTTTGTTGTGATAAACCTGTTTCAGGAACAGTAGTTCTGTCCAGACTCTGACATCTTTGTTCCATTTCTTCCCCTTTTTTCTTTTTTTGGCAGTATTGGGGTTTGGTCTCACACTTGCTAGGCAGACACTAACCCTAACACTGAGCCACACTCCCAGCTCTTTTGCTTCAGGTATTTTTCAAATAGGGTCTTGCATTTATGCCTGGACCCTCCCATGTAGCTACAATGACAGGTGTGCACCACCATGCCCCGCTTTTTTATTTGGTTAAGATGGGGTCTTGCAAACTTTTTGCAAAGTTTGGCCTTGAATCATGATACTCCAGATCTCTGCCACCTGAGTAGCTAGGACTGTAGACGTGAGCCACCTCTCTTGGCTGTCCCATTTCTTTTGAGCAACAAAAGAGTCTAGTTTGATTCTTTTCCCAGTTTACTTATTCTTGGGTTTGCTTCATTATTACTGTGAAGGAGTCCTAAAAGGTGTGGTTTTAAAATAATGTATATTTCTTACTTTAAAATTAGTGTATGTTTATCATGGAAACATTTTCTAAATGTGAAAAATTCAGTAGAAAAACTGAAGTTGCTTCCAGAAAGCCACTCTGGGACTCCTGTGCTTCTTCTGCTGTGTCCGTGTCTGTGCCATGGTCGGGCTCGTGGGATGTGCAAGATGGCACCTATGTTCCTTTTCCTTTCCACTCACCATGTCACATGACTCTTGTCATGTCTTTTGAACTCTTTTATGCATTTGAATACCCTTATATGGTGTTTCATGGAGAAATATTAGATAGTTCACTCAGCTCATCTATGGTTACACATTTTATAACTTTTCTCTGTAGAACTCCAAAAAAGACTTTAAAGTACAGATTTTTTGTGTGCATACTTGGTTTCCTTTAGTGATAATGGCTTATGAATTGCCAGCATTTTTCAAGGCTTTAAATAATTATTGCCAGTTATTTTCTCAGAGGGTTATGTAAGTCACATTTCATTAGGGAGATTTGAAAGTGCCCATTTTAGAAGTGTCGCTGAGGCCATGCTGCGTGGCTGTGGCTGCTTGGTGCAGCTCAGGCTTTTTCTTCTGCTCTCTGCAGTAAGTTCTGGGATGAGCACCTTCATTTTGTTGAGCTTCAATATCCATTCGATTTGGTTATTTATTTATTGGTGGTACTGGGAATTAAACTCAGGGCTTTGAGCCAGCTAGGCAAGTGCTCTACCACTTGAGCCATGCCCCCAGCCCTTTTTGCTTTAGTTTACTTTTCAGGCAGGGTCTTATGCTTTTTGCCTGGGACCAATCTTGGATTGCAATCCTCCTACATCTGTCTCCCATCTAGCTGGGATTATAGATATGTGCCACTATCCTCAGCTTGCTTTCTGAGATAGGGTATCACTAACTTTTGCCTGGTCTGGCCTTGAACCAGGACACTCCTATCTCCCTCTGCCTCCCATGTAATAGGTATACATCACCATGCCAAACCTTTATGCTTCTTTAAGGAGGTAAAAGTAAGATATTTCTTTAGGAGGTGGCTCAGGTCACTGCCCTATCTCCTTTGGTGTCCCTGAGGTCTCAGGAACTCTGTCAACCACAAGAACTGAAATAAACATTAGCATAATTAAAAATGAAGAGTTATTGAGAGAAATCTACACAATTTACCTAAAAAAGAACAAAGCCCATGACATTTTAACTCAGGGAGTTTGGTTTGTGAGGGCAAAGCTGGGAGGGGGAGACTAAGAGGGTAGGAGGAGGGATGGGGGAGGCAGTGGTAAGCTGGGAGCTAAGCATGAACCTAGGGAGACAGGACCAAGAAGGCAGCTGGTAAGGCTTCCTGGGTCAGCGTCTTTCTAGACTCCCTGGCACAGTGGAGCACTTCACTAGGGTACTGCAGGAGAAAAATTGGATTTTGGGGACACCTGTGGATATGTGGGCCCCAGGCCATTCCCTGTGCTGCCCCATCCTACTTCTCAGAGATTCTTCAGGCAGAGGAAGGGCTCACTGGGCTCTGGGAGGCACTGTGCCCATCTTGGTGCCTCTTCCCCTGGAACCCCAGCAGTGTGGTGCCAGGGTCTCCATGGCAGGCAGCCTTCCACCTCCAGGTCCCCATCATGCTCTGCCTGGTGAAGCTGTGTGCTTAGCCTTCCTTGAGTAGGCACATAATGGCTTGCCTCACTATGCATGGTGTTGGAGCTGGGAGAGACTAATGTGATGCGAGCTTTATGTATGCATACCCTAACTTGGAGGTCCTGTGTCCTTGTAGGTGGTAACATGGACCTGGAAAGCCAAGCAGAAGGGAAGAAGGAGGCAGAAGCTGATGACATGCTGAGGAGCGGTCCCCGGCCCATTGTCCCATACAGCTCTATGTTCTGTCTAAGCCCCACCAACCTGTGAGTCTCCTCGTTGCCCATCCATATGCTTGTCCTTCCTGTCCACTTACCATAACCCAGGTAACATAGTGGCCATTGTGCACTGCCCCCTGCAGGGACCAATTCTTCCCATTTTACTTGCACAAATACCTCTAATCATCATGGCAGTCCTAGGAGGCACACATTCACCTCATTTTACAGATACAGACATGGCAGCACCAGGAACTCTGTGCCTTGTATGCAGACACACAGTCAGAAAGTCTTGGTGGTGGAGCTGGGGTCAGACCCCATATGGTCAGCTCCCTCTCCTGCTGCACACAAGGACCTTTTTTATACTCTTCATGCTGGGACTATACATTGATACCCTAGATAGACAAGAGCACCTGTCCTTACCAAGAACATGGACTAGTGGGAGAGTCATACAGCAAACAAGGCAAATCAGTGAGACATAGATGTCAGATAGCAGGTTGACTATGGTGGTGAATGTCTATAATCCCAGGTGTTCAGGAGGTGGAGGTAGGTGATCACTGTCTGAGACCAACCTGGGGAAAAGTGCAAGAACCTATCTGAAAAACAAACTAAAGCAAAAAAAAAAAAAATGCTGAGAGCATGGCTGAAGTGATAGAGAGCTTGTGTAACAAGCTCAAGGCTCTGAGTTCAATCCCAGTATTGCAAACAAAACAAAACAAAACAAAAGAATAAAAAAAGATGTTAGCCAGCAATGAGTGCTAGGAAGAAACAAAGCAGAGGTGGAGTTCGGGGATTGGGGCTGCCAGAGCTAAAATTAGCTGTGAGGCCTCAGAGGTGAGGCTGGGGCAAAGATTTGGCGAAGGGGAGAGGGTGAGAGGTAGAGCCGGACAGGCTCTGGGCAGAGGGTGAGAAGTAGAGCCAGACAGGCTAGAGTGGGTGGGTCGGAGGGCAGCAGTATCAGAGTGACTGTTACTGACCTGTCCAGCCACCCTTTCTGTCTTTGATTGTCCCAGTCTCTCCACCCAGCCCTCTTTACCCATTCTCCCTTCCTATTCCTTCACTTTATTCTTTGATTCATCATGAATTTGTTGGGAGCTTACTCTGCTGTGCTAGGGTTAGCAGTAAATGGTACCAGATGTTACAGGAACAGTACAGAAAGTATGACTGACCAGCGAGAATAAAACTCAAACCCAGGTGGTTGGAGGAAAGGAAGGTTTATTATGATAGTGGACCAGCACCTGGATATCTCCAAAATGGCACAGACCCCGAGCTCAGGGTGGTTGAGGTTTTTATACCAAGAAAAGCAGCAGTAAGCAAGCAAGCAGGGAGTGAAGAAGCAGACTTGGCAGTTAGCTATTCAAGATTACAATATATCATGTCAGCACAGCTGCAGACGAAGGACATCCGAAGTTTCTAGCAAGATAGCTGGATGTAGGGGCCCTGGCTAAGGGAAGGGCCTTACTGGTTGATCCTTTCCCCTGGCTTTGATCTTTCTCCAGGCTTCCTTATCACAGAGAGAGATGGGGTCCCTATCTTTTTGGGACTGACAGTGTGTGTGTGTGGGGAGATGAACAGATAGCTGTCAAATAAGCACAGCATGGAAACAGCAATGTAGGCAGGTTCTGGTGTTGTGGAGCAGGCAGGAGAAGGCAGGGGAGTTTTCCTGGAGGAAGTGAAGTCTTGTTGAAACATGAAGGATGAATAAGAGTTAAGAGGAAGAGGGAGGAATGAGTCCTGTTGTGGAGAAGAGCTTAACAGCCCAGAAGTAGAAGACAGCAGGCTGGAGGGGTGCAGAGATATGTGATCTGTTGGTTGACCTGTGGAAGACCTGAGAAGTCACTGAAGTGCCCCCAAAGGTGTGGGAGGTGTGCACATGTGACTGCACTTTAGTGGGAAGAGTTGGTGGCAGAAGACCACAAAGTAAGTGGGCAAGATAAAAGAGTGTGGTTTGACTAAGGTGGTCAGAGTAGAGGTTTGGAAGTGAAATGCTTTGGGGGAAATTTTAGAGGGTGAATCTGTAGAATTTGATAACAGACATGGAAGGGGAGGCAGTGTTAAGGATGATACAGATTTTGCTCACTGTCTGGCTGAAGGTAGGGTGTTCACCAAGACCAGCAGTGGTCTTGGGGGTCTGGCTGAGCTATGAGGTGTACTGCCTTAACCTGCAGAATCAAGGAAGCTGGAGGTGGGCTACAGAGTCTGAGCTGGAGGGTAGAGCTGAGTGGCAGAAACTCAACCACAAGCTGGACCAGATGACCATTGAATTAGAAGGCAAGAAGAGGAAGTACCCAGGGATGAAGGGCCACAGGCCTTTGGCCTGGGAAGAGCAGTGCTGTGATCATGTGCAAAGCACATGAATGAGGAGGTGGGTGGAACCCTTCAAGGAGGAGAGAAGTGGTGGGCGGTGGTAGAAGATAGCAGGCTGTTTAAGGTGTGTCCACCGCGGTGATGTGGAGAGTAGGGAAGAGGCTAGAGTATCTCGCAGCAGATCCATGTCTGTGGAGATAAGAGTACTTGTGATAGCATGAGGGGTGGTCTGCCCCACCTCCTAGGTCCATGGCTCATCCATCTCTCAGGCTTTGCCCTTCTGACCTGCTATGTTGCAGCACCTACTTGTCAGCATCTGAGTCTCCTGCTCACTTACTTCTGCACTGTTTGCTGGCACTTTGCCCACTAGAGTGGAGCTTCACAAGACCAGAGACTTGCCTTTCCTGTTTGTTGCTCTGCCCCCAGAACTGAGCAGATGCTTAGTAACGTTGAACAAGTGAGCAAAGTTCAGTGACTGAAGTGGGAAGCAAGTGTGTGTGTTGTGTCCACACATAGCTTGAAGCTTAGACATTAGCATGCATCCAGCATGGGCACAGACACACTCAGTAGGGCGAGAGAGGCCTCCTCTCTGCAAGGCTGCTATGCTGAAGTTCTTCTTCCACCCCACCTGCAGCATGCCTGTTCTGCAAAGGACCAGGTGGTGATACTGTTGGCTGTGGGGCTGTAGACAGTAGGGGAACTAGTGGAGGCAGTTATGCTCACATGAAATGGATGGCAAAATGTTACTCACATGAACAGGGTCAGCCTAGTCTGGCCTGGGAATTGTGGTTTGCTGATACCTGACCCAGGATGCCCTTTTACAAACCTGTCATCTGGCCACTGTTGTTTGACCATAGGGACACTGGGCAAAGCTCCATTCTAGTGTCACATTTTCCTACAGTAGCCAGTTAAGAGTCCTTCCCTTGCAGGAGAGTCAGACATGTGCTCTGGTCCCCATGGTAACCTATGCTGTGTCCCTATAGGCTACGTCGCTTCTGCCATTATATTGTCACCATGCGATACTTTGAGATGGTTATTCTTGTGGTCATTGCACTGAGCAGCATTGCCTTGGCTGCTGAGGATCCTGTGCGGACGGACTCATCCAGAAACAATGTGAGTGGCAAATAGTCAAGGCCACTGTTAGAGGAAGTGCCACTGGGGTTGGGAGCCTGTCTCCTCCAGACCTTCACCAAAGGTCTAGTGAAGCCACCTCCCTGAAGCCCATGTTACAGGTGTGCCAGAGGCAGTGGAGGCTTCCTCCCGAGGAGCCTCTTCACAGAGGAATGCTCATCTCAGACTCGTCCTCACTGCTGCTGGGTGGACTCTAGCGTGTCATTTGCTCAGAGGCCTGAGGGGAAGCTGGGAGGCCCTGACTTGGTCCTGGTTCCAGCTTCCAGGCAAATTTTTGAGCTCCATCCTCCTTTTGGTTCTAGGTTCTGAAGTACATGGACTACATCTTCACTGGCGTTTTTACCTTCGAGATGGTGATAAAGGTGAGCAGTGGCAGCTCTTGCTGCTAATACAGGTGTGTGGGGTGTGCATTGGGTGTGTGCTCAGTTGGCGAATGTACACATATGTGTAAGACATGGGCTGAGTGTATATATGGAGTATTTTGTACTCCAGGGGCCTTGCTGGCCACAAGGGCTTCTAGCACCTCATTGCCCTTTGGAGCACTACCAGGGCACTTGGCTCCTGAGCACAGGGGCTGTGAGCTTTCTTCAAGGTATGTGTATATGGGGGGTGAGCCCCTACTCCAGAGTGCCTGGTGACTGCACAGAAGGGGCCACATGACATTGGGCAGAGGAAAGGGAGGCTTGAGAGAGGGGTGGCTGGAGGACTGTTAGATGCTTAGGACTAAATTTAAATGGGATCTGGAGTCCCTCTAATGACAGATTGAGAATCTACCACGTCACTGCAACCTTCCTTTTCCTTCACAAGGTGCCCTTTATCCAGGTCTGATAGGTGTGGCCCTCATATATTTGCACAGGTGCGTGTTCAGTGTGATTGTACAGCACACATAAGTGTACATGCATCAGTGTACCTGTAAGTGTGTGTGTGCTCGTATGTGTGCAGTCCCCTCAGGGAGCACTTCCAAGTGGCATGTGAACAAGTGCCCCCTGCTGTTCATGTACTTGCAGTCTGTGGGGGTGACCCCACTTTACAGATGAGGAGGCTGGGGCTGGGAGGTTATGATACTTGCTAATCCCAGTACCAGGAGTGGGAGAACCACTGCATAAAGGTCTTTGGACTCACAACCAGCTGCTCTGTTGCCTTGAGCTGAGCCTCCTGAGTGGTGAGGAAACTCTTGGACCATGTGTCTATTGACAGTTGAGGGAATAGGTGGAGACAGAGAACTCATGTTGGGCTTCAGAGAAGGTCAGAGCCCAGACAGGATTCATCCAGTCATGTGCCCTCAGGGATATTTTGGTTAAGGTCCCACTAAGGCCGTTTGAGAGTATGACCCAGGCCATGCCCTTTCTCTGCTGAGAGGTTGTGGGAAGTGCAGCTGAACTGTACTGAGGCTACAGATGTGTATGGTGCACAGTCTGCACTGTATGTACTATATTCTCCATCACAGCTGGGCCTGGGTCTGCCTCTCTCTTCTGTATGTGCTCTGACAGCCACTTCTCCCCTGCAGATGATTGACTTGGGACTGCTGCTGCATCCTGGAGCCTACTTCCGGGACCTGTGGAACATTTTGGATTTCATTGTGGTCAGTGGTGCCCTGGTGGCATTTGCCTTCTCGTAAGTAACTACATCTGCTTTGGATCTGATGGGCACAGCCCCCAGAACCATGATGAGGTGTGAGGGTGCACGAAGGAGGGAAATGACTCCTGTTGGCCTTCCTGGTCTGTCTGTGGCTCTATAACTGCCCAGAAGGGACTGTCCTTTCTGCCTGGGGCTGGACTGTGAGGTGAGAGGACTCAAGGTTCATCTGCCTGTGATCTAGGACTAGGTGTGCAGGCCTCTGGATTTTTGGCATTTGCCCTGTGGGGTCCTTCAGAGCTAGTTTATCTGCTCTGAGGTGAGCCCAGCAGGAGATCGCTGATGTTTTCTGCCCCACCCAGAGCTGTGAATATCTGCCCCGTAGGCTGTAAGCTTGTTTCCTCAGCCAGAGCTGTGAATATCTGCCCCGTAGGGTGTCAGCTTGTTCCTCAGCCATGTGGTTCTTGGGGTTGGAGTGGGCTTCCAGACCCTGCATGGAGGGTGTGGGGTTTGTGTGGGTCCAGGGATGGGGAGATACTAAGGAAAAGCCAGGTTGAGGCCAGATTCTGAGGGGAGGGTCTTTGTCTTCTCTGCCCTGGGAGGGCTGTGCCAGTGGACCTGCTGCTCTGCCTTCCCATGGCACTGACTCTGCTCTCTTTGTCTTCCTGTTGCTGGACTCTCGGTAGGAGCTTCATGGGGTAATGCCTCTCTTCCCCTCATACTGCCCAACATCATGGCACACCCATGACCTCTGACCAGTACATCATGGCCTCATGTCCGCTCATCTCCCTCCACCCCATCTGGGCTGCATGCTGCTTGGATCCATCCTCAGGCCACCATTCCTGCCATTCCTTTGGGGGTTGGGGGCTTGGTTGGGCTGGGTTGAGCTTGGTCAGCCCTTGGTGAGGAGATTCTCAGTTAGCAGGGGGTCCTGAGTGAGTGCTAGAGGCGGGAACATTAGCCTGAAGAGCAGTGAGGGCTGGGGTGAGAGATGTCAGCCATGACCATGGCCCAGAATGCTGGACATCTGAGGTGCCTTCCTATTTGGTCCCTTTCTGGAAATGTGGCTTTCTCTGCTCTTTCCTCTCCTCCCAGTATCTTCTCTGGGTGTTTTTATGAACCCTCATTCTGTGACAGAGGAACTGAGAACTTTGCCAAAGTGACAGCAAGGGCCCCAGGAATGAGCACTGCAGCCAGGATGTCAGAGAAGTCCCGGATGGAAGAAGAGGGATGGGATCCAACCCTGTGGCCTCAAAGCAAGCAAGGGAAGAAAGAGGCCTGAGTCCAGAGGGGTGTCTCCAGTACAGAGCTCTCCCCAAGCCTTCCTCCCTTTGCCATCTACCTGTCCCCTTTTCTCCTAGTGTTGATGGAGGGAGATGCATGAAGTTGTGCTGGGTTATGGCAGGGTAGGCTTGGTGTTTCAAGGGCAGTGTATTTTGTTTGTTTTTGTTTTTGAGACAGGGTCTTGCTATGTAGCTCAGGCTGGCCTCAAACTCACGATCCTCCTGTCTCCCCGCTTCCTAGTGCTAGGATCACAGGTGTGTCCTCTACGCCTGCCTCTGGGGCAGTTTGAGTCTGGAACATGGGCTGGAAAAGAAGGAAGGGTTGGAGTCTGAGCTCTCCTTTGTCACAACAAAGGCCTGGGTGATACAACTGCTTCCTGTTTAGTCCAGAGCTTTCCTGGAGTCCAAGAGAGGCCACTGAGGGCAGGGCTGGGCCCCCATGCAGGCCAGGACCAGAAATCTGGGTGGGAAGTGGTCTCTGGGCAGGCAAGGGTAGGGTTCCCTGTGTGAGTGGGTGCCACCAGTCCTGAGGCTTGCCAAATGGATGCGGCTTTGTTTCTGAGAATGGCCTTGCACTGCTGGCCTAACCTGGGTCCAGGGCCACTGCCCCCCAGACTGCTAATTCCTGGGCCCCTGACAGGTGGAAACAGCATCGGGGTCTGCTATGGCCTCTTTTGTGAGAATACCTGGTCTGGGCCTCTAATTGTGGACTTGCTTTTGGTGCCTGGAATTTTCTTTCCCTGAGTTCTTATCCCCCATCTCCAATCTGAGTTTTCCTATCTGCTGCTTTCTTGATTGTCTGGGTGTCTGTTTACTTCTCTAGGGCTTTTCTTTTTCCATACTCTCTCCACTACTGCCTCTCCTATTGTCTCTTTGGTGTACTTTCTGCCATCCAGTTTTACATTACCTGATGGATGTTAGGCAGCTGAGAACAGGCAGGCGGCTTGTAGTGCAGAGGCCAGACAAATCTCCTTAGTGAAAAGCAGGATAGCAGCTTTTCTTCTGGTGCCTGGAGAAGGTTGTAGCGCCACAGGGCAGGCTTACAAACCTCTACTCCTGTTCTGTAGATCTTGCCAACCCCCTCAGCCTTCTTTGTTGCTAGAAACTGATTTGGGGGTGAGAGAGGAGCTCTGGGGAGGTGGAAAGAGCCACTGTGGTCTGAGAATATGAGCTCACATGGGGCTCAGCTGTCCCTGTGCATCAGGTATGCTGCCCTGGCCTTGGCTTAGCTCTGGCCCTACTTTGACCCCTGTCCTTAGACAAGGCCTAGGCTAAACAGCCATGGGAGGAGACCTTCCTGTGCTGGTCTTCTGCCCTGGAGCCTGAGACAAAACGTGCAGGGCAGCATGAGCCAGACCCTATGGGCCTTGTGGGAGTGGGGCAGCACCCATGTGTCTTGCCTGTCTACATCAGCGGCTTCTCCCTTCTAGAGGATCCAAAGGGAAAGACATCAACACCATCAAGTCCCTGAGAGTTCTGCGTGTCCTGCGGCCCCTCAAGACCATTAAACGGCTGCCTAAGCTCAAGGTTGGAGCCTAGAGTTGGGGCTTGAGGAGCATGCTGTGTATGTGTGTGCATACATGTGTGCATGTGCACACAGTGTATGAGTGTGTGCACATGAGTGCATGCATGTGCATGTGTGTGTATCTTCTGAAATTACCCATATGCATCAGGGGGATAGGCTCACTCAGCTCTAAGCCGTCTCCCCCAGGGACGCTTATTCCCAGCAGTATGCTGAAAGACCCCTTTTCCTCAGCCTAGAACACCAGACGGGACACTGTTTCCTCAATAGCTACAGAGCAGGGAGAAAGGGATGTGGAGGGAGATACTGACAGTTAGGGAGTAACTGCTGGGCTGGGCCCTGGTGGGTGGGCATGGCTGAGGTTCTGGATGAAAGAAGAATGTAAACATAATCTAGTAATTAATTATTGAGCCTGTGCCAGGCACAGAATTCTTTCTATGCTTTGACTCATTTAGTTCTCCAAAACTTTATATTGGGTTCTTGTATCAACAGCTTGGACATTCAGGCCTTAATGATGTTAGGCAAAGTGGGAATTGCAGAAAAAAGTTTACTTAAAACCTGTGTGTGAAGGGATAGGCAGAGAAGGGACCTGGGAAGGCATTAGAGGCCCTCTGGGCCTAGGCAAGACTTGTATCCAGGATAGCAGGGAAAAGTGCTAGGCAGCTGCTGGCATCTGGAGTTTTTTAGCCAGCATCTGCAGAGATGGCTGCAGGACATGCAGGGAGGTCTGAGAGGTGTGGCTCTGCCCCTCCCTCAGAGCTCTGCCTCCTCCTTCTTACAGGCTGTGTTTGACTGTGTGGTGAACTCCTTGAAAAATGTCCTGAACATCCTGATTGTCTACATGCTCTTCATGTTCATATTTGCCGTCATTGCAGTACAACTCTTCAAAGGGAAGTTTTTCTACTGTACTGATGAATCCAAGGAGCTGGAGAGGGACTGCAGGTAAACTGAGGCAGGGAGGGGCACACTCAGCCCCAGGATGCAGAGAACACCCATGTTCTCTTAGGACCACGTGGGGCTGGTCACATGGTTTGGGAGACCCCTCGCGAAGTAGGAACACTGAGGCTGGGCAGCCTTCTTGAGATTTGCTGGTACCATACAGAAGAGAGGAGAGTGTGCTTCCTATACCCAGAACTACTCCAGGGTCCCCCAGCATGTCTTCCACAGAGTCAGTTGCCGCATTATTTTTTTTTTGTCTTTTTTGTTTTGGTTTTTTTTTCTATTTTTTCCTTTTTTTTTTTTTTGGTGCTGGGGACCAAACTCAGGGCCTTACACTTGCCAGGCAAGCGCTCTTCTACTGAGCTAAATCCCCAACCCCTTGCACAGAGTCAGGGACCAGCTGTGCTCTGAAGGACACCTTCTTCTTGCCTGCAGACATCTGAGGAGCTCACAGCCACAGGGCTCTCTAAACCCTAGGTAGAGATCTAGGTTGGGCCATAAGGTCAGAGGGTTGTCCTCTGGATACCTCAGATCTTCCTGGGCTTGGCCTTATGCTCGGGACAGGAGAGGTACCCTTCTGGGAGGAGCTAGGAAATGGAGGGCTGGCTGTGCACACACCAAACAAGGCTGTGTGGGCAGCTCCTTTCCACCTGCTCAGTGAAGGTCACTGTTGTTTCTGGTTGTGTGGATGTCACACAGCTTACTGATCTACTCTATGGTGGATGGGCATTTGGGTGGTTCCTGGGTGTGGCTGTCCTGAACAGTGCTGCTGTGTCTCATGTGCACATTTCTAGGAGACCTCTGTCTAGGAGCAGGTCACAGCTTTAGTGATGCTGCAGAACACTTATGTGACATGGTTCCTCACCAGTGAGCGTGAGAACTCTAACTGCCCACACCCTTGCCCACTCTTATGCTTCTTGCCTTGCTCTATAGCCTTTTGCATATACACCTAGAAGTGGAACTGCTGGATGACATGGTAACTGATATGGTAGCTATTTGAGAAAGTTCCAGCCTGTTTCCAACATGGCTGAACCATTTTGTATTCCCATCAGCACTGTACAAGGGTTCTGATTTCTCCACGTCTTTGCCAATATGTGTTATAACTACTACTTTTTGTTTTTGTTTAGTTACATTCATCCTAATAGGAAGGAAGTGATATCAGTGTGATTCTGATTTGCTTTTCTCTGATAACTGATGATATCATGCATCTTTTCATGTGCCAGTTGGCCCTTTGTCTTCTTTGGAGAACTGTCTATTCAGATATTTGATCTATTTTAAAATTTGGGCTATGTATCTTTTTTGTATTGATTGTAGTAATATTTTACATATTCTAAATACAAGTCTCTTGTCTGATAGATGATTAACAGATTTTCTCTCCCATTCTGGGTCTTTTCATTTTCATAGTAGTGTGGGGTTTGAGTTGCACTTATGTGATGACCAGTATTCATGAGAACTCCAGCTGCCCACACCCATGCCCTTTCAAGTACAGAAGTTTTGAATTTTGATGAAGTCAAATTTATCAGCTTGTTTCTTTTGTGGCTCATGATTTTGGTTCCATATCTAAGAATCCATTCCCAAATATAGGGTCATAAAGATTTTCCCCTGTGTTTTCTGTGAGAGTGTTATAGTTTTAGCACCTATACTTAGGTCTTGAATCCATTTTGAGTTACTTTTACATATGTAATGAGGTAGGAGTCCAGATTCATTCTTTGCATCCACAATGACTGGAAATTCATTTGTCCCAACACCATCTGTTGAGGAGACTGTTCTTTCTACATAAAATGGTCTTGGTGTGCTTTTCAAAACTCAGCTGACCATTAGACAGGAGGGTTTATTTGGACCCTTTATTGTTAACTTCTATTCTTCCTTTTGTTCCTATTCCCAGGGGCCAGTATTTGGATTATGAGAAGGAAGAAGTGGAAGCTCAACCAAGGCAATGGAAGAAATATGATTTCCACTATGACAATGTGCTCTGGGCCCTGCTGACGCTGTTCACAGTGTCCACAGGAGAGGGGTGGCCCATGTGAGTGCCCATCCTGTTCATCATGCCTGGTTATGCCAGAGCAGGGTGCCCAGAGCTTGGCCTCCCTTCCCCCAGTGTTGGGGGGCTCAGGTGTGGCACACATCTGTGGCGTGCCCGTGGTACAGGCTCTGAGCTCCTGGGAAGCTCTCCTGATGTCTGCTTTCCCCTTGGCCAGGGTGCTGAAACACTCTGTGGATGCCACTTATGAGGAGCAGGGACCAAGCCCCGGGTTCCGCATGGAGCTGTCCATTTTCTATGTGGTCTACTTCGTGGTCTTCCCCTTCTTCTTTGTCAACATCTTTGTGGCTTTGATCATCATCACCTTCCAGGAGCAGGGGGACAAAGTGATGTCTGAGTGCAGCCTGGAGAAGAATGAGGTAGGTCGATGTACCATGGGCTCCTGGGATAGGGAGTATGGGTAGGACCACCAGGCTTTCCTTCTGTACATGCATTACTCATAGCTGGCACAGGCAGGGCCTTCTTCCTCCTTTAGAGGAAGACCACATTTGGTCAGATGGACCTGCTTGGGGGAGGCCCAGCTGCCTCTGCTGCCTTCTTACACCTGGGCTTCCTGAGAGGGCATGGTGAGATGGTGCCGGGTGCATTTGGTGCTGAGATTGGGTCCCCCCTGAGTTGATGGTGCTCCCTTTTCCCCATGCAGAGGGCGTGCATTGACTTTGCCATTAGTGCCAAGCCTCTGACACGGTACATGCCCCAAAACAAGCAGTCGTTCCAGTACAAGACCTGGACGTTCGTGGTCTCCCCACCCTTCGAGTACTTCATCATGGCCATGATAGCTCTCAACACAGTGGTGCTGATGATGAAGGTATGTGGGGCCCACCATAGTGAGTGACTGGTACCTGCTAGGGTGCCAATTCTAAGGTTGGTTGGAGAGTCACCCTTCTTCCTGCTGGCACGTCCTGGAGCTGTAGTAGCCTCCTCTCCTGGCCAGCACAGGGTACCTGTGGTATTTTGTTCCCTCTGTTGTATGTGGCCAAGACAGTGAGAAGGTTCTGGGAGAACTTGGAGAAGAACAAGGGGTGGCCCAGGTGTAGGCAAGTGTGGAACTCTGCCTCTGGGAACCTCTAGTGGTCCCAGGTGGGGTGTTTTGTACTGCTGCACTCTCAGACATCAGCCCTCATTCCTCTGTCAGTTCTACGATGCACCTTATGAATATGAGCTGATGCTGAAATGTCTGAACATTGTGTTCACATCCATGTTCTCCATGGAATGCGTGCTGAAGATCATCGCCTTTGGGGTGCTGGTATGTGCCTTAACTCCCTTTATGTCTTTTGGTGTCTGTATTGTGGCTCCTCTTCTGGTGGGCAACTTTTGGGACCTCACAGTATGGAGCTGAAAATTCCCCAAGCCCCTGGAGCACAAGTGACACTGCAGGGCAAAAGAGGAGGGCTCTGTTGACACTCTCAGCTTCCCGAGTCTTGCCCGACCCCCAGTCCTGAGGGACAGGCAGGGTTGGGACCCTTCAATGTGGACATGTGATTCTCAGTTCTTCACCTACCCAGCTGGGGGTGTCTGCATGCTTGGCCACAGAGTCTTTTTTGTCACTGGTCTTGTGTTCAGCATCCATCACCCTTGCCCTCTTCTTGATCAGGGACCACCACCCATAGCTCCTTGCTTAGCTGAACCCTCATCAGCCATCAGCACTGACTGCCCTCTTTTTCTCTAGAACTACTTCAGAGATGCCTGGAATGTCTTTGACTTTGTCACTGTGTTGGGAAGTATCACTGATATTTTAGTAACAGAAATTGCGGTAAGTAGTGTTTCCTGTCCCTGCCTCTGGAACCCCAAAGTGGCTTCCTTGTAGAGGGTTCTCCCCTTTGCATATCCCCAGGTCCCAACTGTGTCATTCTTCTTATGGGCCCCTAGGAGCTCTGGGACAGTGGAGGTGCCTCTTCGGAGGTAAAACTGGGGATCAGGTGTTGTTCTGGCAGGTGTTCTTCTTAGATAAGAAGTAACTCTAATGGTCTTCCAGGCTGCTGGCCTGAGAATCACCTGGAACTCCATAGTAACAGCTTAAAATCTGTATGTGTTTAATGTGTATATTTTAACAACTTATGTCAAGAATACATAAACCAAACCTAGTAAGAATTTAATTTTAGTGTAACTGATATTAAAGTTATTTATATTTTTTTGGTGGGACTGTAGTTTGAGGTCTTCATGCTGCAAAGCACTCTACTGCCTGAATCATGTTTCCAGTTCATTTTGCTCTGGTTATTTTGGAGATGGGGGGTCTCGTGAACTGTTTGCCCAGACTGGCCTGGAACTGTGATCCTTCTGATCTCAGCCTTCCAAGTAGCTAGGATTACAGGTGTATGCAACTGGTACTTGGCCATATCTGGAGGTATTTTTATTGAACACATACCTGAAAATTGATCAATGTTAGGACATAAACTAATCTCAACAGATTTCAAAGAATCTAAATCATAAAGCAACATTTTTGAGTACAACATATTAAGTTAGAAACAAATAGCACAAATCTCATCTCTAGTTGCAGACACTGAAATGAAGATTCACGTAAAAATTACTTCTGACAAAGAAAAATCAGGGAGGGGCTGGGAAATGGTTGGGGCTAGGAAGAGGATGAGAGATGTTGCAAGTCCAGGGTGAGGACTTGGATCACTCCAAGGGGCCTTTGGGACAGGGTAGGGTCCCCTCAGAAATATTGCTGCAGGGGAAGGGAGCTGCAGAGATTTTACTTCTGCACTGTGTGGGGTTGAAGTCTGCATCAGGGTTCAACCTGAAGATACCTCCAGCTCCCTTGAGTGCATATGTGCTGGCAAAGCAGGCTCTGGTCACCCCTGCTGTTGGGCTGAGGGACACTGGCACCATTATCACAGGATTGTGCTGGAGTGCAGGCCCTTCTCTGGCCCTGTTCAGTCTACCCGCACCTCACATTGAATGTGTAGTGCATTCTTCAGATAGTATCACCACCATCTCTGCAGCCCCCTGCTGTGTTGGTTTAAGTTGTCACCCAACTCTAGAGCCCTTGACACATAGCCAACCTTTGCTGTTCCAGTTGCTGGCCTGATAAGGTACCATAGACCCTTGCTTCTGAATAGCCCCTGCTTGCTGTTGCCTTGTCCGCCTATGGCCACTGTAATAGTCCAGTCCAGTTAAGGCGCTATAGGAACACCTAAGAAGGACTTGGGAGCCCCCAATTTCCTGTTGGGCTTCTTGCTGCCCCATTATATAGCTGCAGCTTTGCCCTTCACAATAATTAGGGTCAGGTACCCTGGCTAGCATGGAAATTCCTAGCACCATGTACTGATTTTCTGGCATGAGGAGCTTCCCCTAACCCCAGCTATATGGCTACCATGGCTTTGGGTATTACCTGGTGGAAGCTTTCCTTGCTCCTTTGAACCAGGGCCTGTAGAGTCTCTGAACCCAAAGTTGTGGGGAAGATGAGCATAAAGTCCACCTTGGGTCTCTGAGGAGCTGGTAAGAGTATCACTTCTGCCTTCTCCCCCGCCCAGGGGTCCATGCATTATTCCACTGGGTGCTGAGTACCGTCGGTGGGACACTAGTTCATCTTTAAGTACAGCATCCTAACCCACGAGGGACATTGCCAAGCCAGCTTTTTTTTTTTTTTTTCCCCCAGTACTGGGGATTGAAATCAGGGCATTGTGCTTGCTAGGTAAGTGCTTTACTGCTTGAGCCACACCACCAGCCCTACCAAGCCAACATTTTATCCATGCTTTGGATACAACATTTTATTTGGGTGATGTATTGGTGCCCTAGTAGATCATATGTGGCCACTGCCTCCTGGGCACCTACTTACTTGCCCTGAGTTGATTTCCATAGGCTCTGTGCTGGTCAGTCTGATGTTGGCCCTCAGATACTAGTGCAAGTCAGGGTATGCACAAGGAAAGGAACTCCACTCCTGGGATACAGAGGATCCCAGGGGACACAAGTCACTGCCCTTTCCAGGTGAAAGATTCCAGTGTAATCAGCCTTCTACTAATTGTGGCGAGTTGACAGCCTTATGGCGTGGTCCACTACAGAGGCCTGGGTTTGATCTTTTCTGATATCAGCCTGGGTGATCTGCACCAGCCGAGGTTAGCTGAACCTTGCTGAGAGTCTTGGCCATCATAGTCACTGCATTCATGGGTCTTCTGTGTGTACATTGGGACTGGTGAGGACAGAGGCTGGTTGACATTTGTAGGTTGGCTCATTGCAATACTTGTTTTTCATCAACCTTATAGCTGTGGGTGCACTATTTTGGACATCTCTGTACAATTCAAAGACCTGCACACTTCCCCAAATCTGTTCTCACCATAGCCCTGACCATAGGCCCCTGCTCAGGCCCCTGTGGTCTTTCACAGGGCAGCTTCTTTGTCCTGTGACAGATCTCTGTTTCAGCACTATGGCTCTGGCCATCCCTGTATGGGACTCTAGTGACGCCTGCCAACCCATCCATAAAGCAGGTCTGAAGTAGATGTGCATGGTGGGGCCACAGGCACCCAGTCCCATGGCCTATAGAAGGTATCTACTACTGACCTGAGCACTGCTGGTTCCTACTCCCCACAGCACCCTGGTGCTGTTACTCTGGGAACTAGTTGACTGGTGGCACTCAGATCTTACATAGCAGACCATTCCCAGCATTCTCACCAATCTGAATCTTCTGTACCTCACCCAGATTTTTTTCCCAGGGTCAGCAATTAGTGCTGAACACATCAGGAGTCACTGTCATCTCACTAACATCAACAGAGGAGTGAGCCACCCCTTGGGTGACCAGTGAGCATCCCCTCCCCTTGGGCCATTGTCTACTTCTAACAACCACATCTTGGACAAAGTGTCTTAGGGTCAGAACCTGTGAACCACTGTGACTTACTAGGAAGTGTTTCCTGGAATACCTGGTGAGGGTGGGTTGTTGAATTAGGAAGGGAGCTGGTGTTAAGCAGGTCTGTGCAGCATCATTTTGGCTCATTCCTGTAGGGAACCTCTGCAGTAGTGTGGACCTCGCTTAGGGTTGTCTCAGTTGGGGAAGAGAGTGCAGTTTGTATTTCCAGACCTGCTGTTGTCCTCGCATCCAGAGACACAGTGCTGCTATGAGTGAAAGCACATTAGGAGACCAGTGTGGACAGGAGCAGCATGGAGACCAGGAGGGATGTGGCTTAAACACCCACAGTGCCTTCTACACATTGGAGGAAGAAAACTTCCAAATAAGTTAGGGGTCGAATGAAGTACTGATGGGATTTTTAAAAAATAATCCAACCAAGAGATAAGGCAAATGCTATGTACTAAAACTCATGGGATACAGGTAAGGCAGGACAGTTGGTTCTTTGTGTTCGCGGATTCTGCATCCATCCAACAGACTAACCCTGAATAGAAAATATTTGAAAAAAATTGCATCTGTAATGAACATATACAAGCTTTTTCCTTGTCATTATTCTCTGAACAATGCAGTATAACAATTATTTACATAGCATTTTTATTTATTTTTTTTTTTTGCGGTACTGGGGCTTGAACTCAGGGCCTACACCTTAAGCCACTCCACCAGCCCTTTTTTTTTGTGTGTGTGTTAGGTATTTTTGAGATAGGGTCTTGTGAACTATTTGCCTTGGCTGGCTTTGAACTGCAATCCTTATCTCTGTCTCCTGAGTAGCTAGGATTACAGGTGTGAGCCACTGGCACCCAGCTAGCATTTTTATTAAGTATTATGCATCATCCAGAAATGGTTTAAAATATACTGAGTGATGCGTGTAGGTCATATGCAAATATTGTGTCATGCTATGTAAGGGACTTGAGTCTCCTCCAGTTTTGGTATCTGTAGGTGGTCCAGGAACCAGTCCTATACAGTTATTGAGGGGTGACTATATTTAGAAATTCTAACTCTTAAATGGCTTTATTAGCAAAAGAATAAAACATGAAAAGTAAATGAGTTGAGCATTTAACCTAAGTTAGGAAAAGAACAGCAGAATAAATTCAATAAAGTAGAAGAAAATGTAAAAATAGAGGGCTGGAGGCATGGCTCAAATGGTAGAGCACCTGCCTATCATGTGTGAGGTCCTGAATTTAAGCCTCAGTACTGAAAAAGAAAGATAAAAAGAGAGAAGGAAAGAGATTAGAGATGAAGAAAACAATGGGTGAAGCTTTGGTTCTTGGAAGATTTAAATACTGACACACCTCTGACAAGATTAATCAAGGTTCAGATAAGCAGTAGAAGGTGGGGGGTGTGATCATGACTCTAGTCATGGAAAGAATAGGAGAATGCTTCAGATAACTTCTGCCAGTGCATCTGAAAACTTAGGTGAATGTATCAAGTACTAGAAAAATAGAAGTGATCAGATCTTATCAAAGAAGAGATATAAACCCTAAATGGTTTTTTATTAAACCATTAAAGAAATTGAGTCAATAAACAATCTTCCCATAAAGAAAACACCTTATTCTAATGGTTGTGTACATTAGGCTTCTACCTGAAGTATAGGAAGGATCATTTCTATCATAAGCAATTCTTCCAGAGACTAGTAAAAGAATAAATATTCCCTAATCAATTTTATATGTCTAGTATAACCCCGGCAAAAAGTTACAAACATACAAAAGGAAGATAACAATCCATACTCACTTGTTACTGAGTGATGCAAAATCTTAATACATAAGCAAACCAAGTCCAACTATACAGAAAAGAAATCATAAGTCAGGCTTATTCCAGGAATGCAAGGTCCATCTCAGAAAATCTATTACTGTAATTTACATTAACAGATCAAAGGAGACTATTGATGTGATTATCTCATGGATGCAGAAAAGATAGCCAATAAAATTCAAATTTTATTCACAATAAAAATTATTAGCAATTTAGGAATTATTTACCTGGTAAGGAATAGCTACAAAAAAAATACTATGCAAACTTTATGTAATGGTGAAATAATTTCCTTTACCACCAGAAAAGGACAATGATCTTGTTATCACAGAATTGGCCTCAGACCTAGTAAGCTCCGGGAATTGAATGTCAGCTCACAGGGGCGGAGGCTTCTGTCTGTTTTGTTCTCTGTTGTAGTCTTAGTACTTTGTAGGCATTCAGTAAATACTTTTTTGAACAAATAAGACAGGAAAAACAAATAAAGTGTATAAGGATTAGAAAAGGAATAAGCAAAACTGTCATTATACACAGATGACATTATTATTCATGGATGAAACCTAGAATAATCTAAGACTAATTAAGAGTGTTTAACAAGGTTGTTGAATGTAAGATTTCTCAAGCAAGTTAGTTGCATTTCTTTACAATGTCAGCTATCCTGGCAGTAAAACTAACAAAATATGTGGGCAAGATCTTCATGTAGAAAATTACTAAACTTTATTGAAAAATATTACATATAGATGGAGTTACATATGTTAATTAGTGTTAATCTCTAAAATTATTGATTCCCCCAAATCAATTTGAAGATTCAGTGCAATCCCAATGAAAATACCAATGTTTTTGTTTTTGTTTATTTGCTTAGAAATTTTACAAGCTGCTTCTAAAATGTATAAGAAAGAGTGAAGGCCCCAAACATTGAAGATATTTAAGAAGTTGTACAGGTGGGAGGCCAGAGAGGGACTGTTCCTGCTGATGTTGAGACTTAAGATAAAGCTGGGATAATTAAGACCATGTGGATTGACTTCGGGTTAGCTAAGTAAGTAATTTAGAGAATCAGGAGCTTGGAATTGGCACTTTGTTGTAACAGAAATATGCAGTAGAACGGAACTGACTCTGCTAAGTTAAGGGTGGCTACACACCTCAGCAATCAATGGTCAGTTTGGGGAAGGCCAGAGATTGATGTTGGTTTTACACAGTTCACAAAAAAATCAATTTCAGATGTATGAAAGACTTAAATATTTGAGAGGCCAAACTTTGAAACTCTAAGAAGGAAAATACAGAAGATTATACCTGAGACCTTGGGACAGGACTATCTTGTTAAGCAAGGCATACAGAGCCTCAGTCATGACTGGAAGAGTCCATCACACTAAGTTTCTGTTCATCGTGCTGTGCTGTACCTACTTGTGAGGGCTGGTGGAAGGTGGTATGGAGCAACTTGTGCTGGGGCTGCAATAGCAGCTGCAGAAAGTGGGCCTGGGAGGCCTGTGTCAGAGCACAGATTGGGTTTCTATCTTGAGTGAGATAGGAGAGTTTGGAAGGTCTTATGAAGAGGCATGTCTCATCTGGCTGTGAAGACACCTCTGGCTGCTCTGTTGAGAATGCAGTGCTGGAGAGCTAGACCAGCTAGGCGCTGTCTCCATTGGCTCACCCAGAAACAGTCTGAGATGGGAGTTGGGCACAAGCTGTTCACTGGGGAGGTGATCCAGGAATACTGGTAGGGGGATGGTGAAATGAGAGAGGGTGAAGTGGCTGCCAACAGAATGTATGTTATCCAGCAGGTTACACTGGGGGCCAATGGGACCCAGTACCACTAGGGAGCTCAGAGCCAGTGTGGAACATGCCCAGTAATTCCACCAAGTAATAAGGAACTTGTTTATAAATTGCTGTCAGTCACTAGCTGAAGGCTTCTGGGGCTAGGAAATGTTCCACCTTTGACACTTCTGGCCTAGCCTGGGAAAGCCCTCAGGAAAGGAAATGAGAAAATACGGGGTGCTGGTCCTGAGATGGTGAGGCCTGGGGGCCATGGTGCCACAGAGCATTCCTACTGGGAGGTAGGCTATGGGTCTGGGAGGTGGACTATGGGTGAGAAACTGTCAAATTTTGGCTATAACTTGAAGGTGGAGCAGCACCTGGACTGGATGTGGGTATGAATGATGAGGCAAGAGAGTCATCAAAGTTTGTGGCCTGAACACTTGAAAAAATGGGTTGCCATGAATAGAAATGGGAAAGAATGTGGTTAATTATGTGAGTAGTCCAGGAAAGGGTTTATTATGGAAGTTCAGCTTGCAGCTTGGATATGTTGGGTTTGAATCTACTGGTAGTCTTCCCAGAGGAATTATCCATTTGTCAGTTGGACAGCTGGGCCTGGGGTTTGGAGGACAAATCCAGGCATGTGAAATAAAGTTGGGAATCATAAACATATGAAAAGATACCTGATCCATAAGACTGGATGAGGTTGATAAAGGATGAGTGAATGAGCCTTGGGGTACTCCAACATATAGTGACCAGGGAGATGAGCAGGAGCAAGCTGAGAGGCTATGAAGTCATGCCAAGAGCAGAACAGGGAGGTTTTCCAAATAACTAGCAAAGGTTATTGTCCAGAATGGACAAGGCTCTTCTGTGAGTCAATTAAAAAACATGGAAAAATGAGAAGAAGGTAGGATTGAGCATTTTACAGACTAGAAAACATAAATGGCCAATTCATAAAGGAAAAAAAATGCTCAACCTTATTTGCAATCAGAGAAATACAAACAGAAGTGATACTGAGATGTCATTTTACAACAAACATTGGAAATTCTAACAGTGCCAAGTATTGACAAAAATATGGGCCACCCAGAACTCTCCCACACAGCTAGGGAGATGTTGACTGGTACATCATCTCTGGAGGAGTTTGCAGTACCTGGAAAGTTGGTGATGTGCATACATATGACTCAGTGTGTTCCCATGGATGCTCATGGCAGCATTATTCATGGTAACCAACACTGAGACTTTGGTGCCCATCAGCAATGGAATGTGTCAACTGTTCAGGTATATTCTTACAGTGAAAACAGCAGTACAAATACATACGTGACATCCACATCAGTAAAGTACTTATCAGTAAGTTTGTGCTCACTGTCAGAGCCAAGTTTGCACAAGTCAAAGGAAGTTTGCACAAGCTACCATTGCAAAGGCTAAGACCAGACAAGCACATAATGTATCTTAAGAGGATATGGCAAAGTCATAGTATTGACGAGAATTAAGGATCCTGAGAGCAGGGAGGGAAACAGGAAGGACTTAGGAAATAATGGTCATGCTCCACTTTTTAAAGCTAGGAGATGAATTTATGGACAGTTGTTTTACTTTTCTGTGCATTTACTTATATAGATCTTTTTGTTTATGTGATATGTTTCATGGTTTTATCATGTTAATGATGTGAGTATTTCAGGCATAAAAACAGAAACCTGCCATTTAAACAGAAAAGCAAGGCTGTTTTGTTCCACCAGCTCCTGGTATTGTGACATCTCCTAGGTGGCTGCCCATCACTGCATCTCATCCAGAAATATTAGTCCCAGTGTGGTTTCTGAGGAGCAGACTGGTTACATTTCTGATGCCTATGGGCTACCTTCTTGGAAACAGGGATCTTTATTCACCCAGATAAAGTGACCCAAACACCAGGTTCCCAGTTGTAAGGACAGCTCTGTGAGGTTTCTGCATGTGTATATTTCTTTTCTAAGAGAGGGGTCTGGACTTCAGACTTCTGAGGGCATGAGAGGATGGGTGCAGGTGGAGGTGCTGGCTGACATCACATATGTGCAGAGCTGTGTTCCAGGCAGAGGCCTGCTCAGTGGCTGTCCAAATAGCCCAGCATTATGTCCTTCTCTGCCTCTTGACCATCAGCCAGGGTGGCTTGTGGTTGCATCAGGCCCTACCTGAAGCAAGTTCTCCTTGGCAGCCACCTCAAACCTTGGTGCCCAGTAGGACTGGGGAGCCTGAGAGGCTGCCTGGTTTGAAAGCTCAGCTATCCTTTGGCCACTTGCTCTTGGAGCTCAGGTCATCCATCCTGCTTTGCCTTGAGGAGAAAAGATGAAAGCCATCATGTGGGTTGGCTGGCATTCTGTTTGTTTGTTTGTTTTTCATTGGAGCCACTTCATATGTTTACTTGCGAATGCACTTTTTTTTCTTAGGCAAAAATATGAGTGTCAGTTCCCGTCCCCAATTTAAACATGAAAATAGAGCAGTAGTCTTAGCAAGGGTCCCTAGAGAGGGCTCCAAGCATGTATAAAACTGACATTGATTTCTTTGCCTGGAAATAAAAAAAATGTCTGTGAGTCATCTTTGGATTTGCATTATAAGCAAGAATGCAAATGGATGCCACTCTGTCTGCATAACCTATAGATTTCAAAAATACGCTTCAAATTTTTGCATTTTAAGAAAAATATGTGATTTACAAAAATCCTAAAATTTTCTAGTTAAGAATTTGTTTTTGCTTGTGTTGATGACTCATTTTCTCTTTTGTTTTTTGTTTTTGTTCTTGATTTACCTTAACCTACCTGCTGACTCACGCCATCCAACCAACACACACTGCGAAAAACCATGTCTCCGTCTATATGTTGTGCACCTGCTGCTCAAACCACCCCAATCTGTAAATAATACGCAAATGCCCATCCATGAAAACATCACATATAGGAAACGGTTGGTTTCATGACTTTAAACAGTTCTTATGATTTCTTTCTCTGCCTGCTCTGCTCCTCTTTTCTTGTTTCTGGGATTCCTGCCTGCTGCCCTCTGAAGCGTGAGCTAGATTCTGCTGCACTCACTCACCTCTGGCCTCTTGTGCACTTTCCCCAGTTCCTGGGGTCCATTAGGGGTTTCTGAGGGCCTCCTAGGAGCTGTTTGAATTGGGACCTGTCCAAGGAGGAGAGGTGGGGTTCCTGGGGTGGGTGGTAGGTTGTGCCCAGGACAGATTTTCCTGCTGAGACTAACTCTGACTTGGGAGGGTATGTAGGATGAGGTTGGTTCTGGTCCCTGAGAGTCTGTGGTTTCTGTTGCACTCTCATCTCCCCTCTGATGTGTCCCCATGATGCCAACACACAGAGATTTGTCTTTGCCCAGGTGGCCTCTGGTGAAGACCCCATTCTTCCTGGACAAGTCAAGCCCTTCCTTAAGGTATTAGGTCCGAGGCCCAGGACCTAGGGGAGGGTTTTGAGATTGGGACCTGATGATTCAAATAGGGTTGGTTAGGGCTTGAGTAGAAGGAGAGGGCTCTGCTCCAGTACAACAGAGTGCAAGACTCCCATCCGTGCCCATCTGTTCATCACTGATCATGCCTTGGTCATGCTCCTTCCTATGGAGTACAGTGCATCTAGGCCTCTTCCAGGTCCTCAGGAATTCAAGAGGAGAGGATGGGTGTTTGGTAGCAACTCCACTTCATCTGTGGCTATGGAAATTCATCTGAAGGAGCAGACATTTGAGATTCCTGTTAGAGGGTGAATGTTTGTCATACAGGATTTTACAACTGGAAAGCTTTGGTTTGAGAAGACCCCATTTGATGCTGCTTAAATGCCCAGGCCATGTTGTCTGCATGCTTCCAGCTCAGGCCATGCAGCTGTCCATGGGAGGGCTCTTCCTGCTCACCTGTGCTCTATCCTCCATCTCATAGCACATCTGACCACCTGATGTGTGATGTATTTGTGCTTGCATATGTACCTTTTTCTCTCCTTAAATGTCAGTTCCCATTAGTATGAGAGTAAGTGAGCAATTGTGTTTAGAACTGCAGGACTTTACCCTCTGGTATGACTCATGCCAACAGGTGTCTACAGAACAGGGCTGAATGCCCAGGTGACACTCAGAAGCAAGCCCCCACTATCCTGTGACTGGCCAGAGGCCATGGTTGCCTTGGATGCTGGGTGCTGGTCATAGTCTTGGATCAGCTGGTGGAAGTGTATCTTACAAATGCTCGGTGCACTTCTAAATCCTTTTCTCAATTATTGCTCATCACCTGGGCATGGATGTCCTTGGTATCTCCAGGATGTGGGCAAAGAGGCTGAGGTGAAAGGGTTAGGGACCAGTGTCCCTTCAAGGTGAGACATTCTCACACTGGGGATGCCTGTGACTCAGAGTGAGGTGGCAACAAGGACAGGCCTGATCATGAGGTCAATGTAGCTACTTCCTGTGCAGCAGAAATCATGGACCCTGGGAAGTCAGGGCGGGCATATCCACCTCTGAGAGGCTGAGGTCAGAGGTGACAGTGCACAGTGTACAGCTGCGTGCTTGCTGTCCCCTGCTGTCCTGCATGCATTTGGCATGGTGGTACCCAGCCCAACACTCTGTGCTTGGGGTGTCTGTAGCTTTTTCACCATGTGCTTCACAGCAGTCTAGGGCTGCCCATCTATTGCTACCCCCAATCTCTCCTGTGTACCCACTAGAGCTCAGAGAGAAAAACCTGAGAGAAGGCATGGCAACCTGATCTCAACAAAAGTAGCAGTGACCATGGCTGGGTTTTGCATTTGTGCATCAGGTCATTTGGATGAGCAGTTTACAGTGTCTCTTCACTTGCCATGTTTTCCACCCCTTCTTTCTTACTAGGACGCCTTTTTCCCCCCAGATCTTTAGGAAGTCTTGTCTGTGCCAGTTGCCTGAATGAAGACTGCCTTGAGCAGGGCAGATGTAACAATCCTTGACCCTCCATGCTCATCTCGAGCAGGTGGTTTCTAAGTGGAAACCCTGAAGGGGGCCAGGCACTCTCCCCGCCCCGCCCCCCAGTTATCTTATGCAAGGGAATCTCCTGACACATCTGCCTAATCTGTGGGGCTTGTCTGTGCCTTAAGGGCAAAGGGTTGTCAGTGGGAGATTTTTGTTTACCACTGAGAACCTTGACCTGTTGGTTAGGGAGCTGCAGGTATAGCTATGCACCCTCCAGGGTCATGCCTTGAGGCCAACTTCCACCTCCTTCCTGATTTGAACATAATCAGGCCGCCTTGTGTTCACTGACCTTTCTGGGTATCATTCAAAATTGGTCCCACATTTGGGGCTCCAGGATCCTGCCTGAGAGCCCATCTCTTCAAATGACCTCTAGAGACAGCGCAGAGACCCACCATCCTGATCGGAACCACAGAAACCTGCCCCCGAGAGTGGAAGCTGTGGGTTGGGTCACTCTCCTTTGGAAATAAGTGTGACTCAGCCCTCCAATGAATGTCTCACCTGGCCAAGATGGGCAGCCCTGGAGCGTCTGTCCAGGCTCCATTGCCTCTGTGCCTGCATGTGCTCTCTTGCGCTGCTGTCTCATTCATCGTCTGTGTTCTCTTTTCTCTTTATTTGATGACTGAATCATTACAACATAAATGTGTCTGAGCCTGAGCTGCTTGCATATTTAAAAATACCCAAATAGCAGGAAGCTGTTCTCAGGCTGTGTGCAGGCATCTGGTCTCTAAGTAGACAGGCAGAAAGCACCTGGCTCCACAGGCACCCCCACCTATGCACGGATACCTCCCCAGATCCAGCTTCCCTGAAAAGGCTTGCCAATAATTCAAGGTGTCCAGGGCCAGGGGAAGCCTCATTCCAAGGTAATCTATGGTATCTGGGGTTTATTGGTTTCTTTGTGCTTGGTTTTGAGCCCTTGTATGAGGGAGCAAACCCAGGTGTCCTGAGTTCTCTTGAGCAGATATCTGTGAACTGTGGGCTGCACAAGTGGCTTCCATGACAAGAACAGCAGGTAGATTGTAGCTGCCCCTTCTGTGAATGTCTGGCAACACCTGGAGCAGCCCCAGAGGAGCCCATCCAGGGCCCCAGGCAGGCAGGGCTTCTCTGGCTGAGCCCAGAAAGGAAGACTGGTCCCCAAGCCCAGGCAAGGGTCCCTCTAGGGGTATCCACTGAAGAGGCAATCACACTCAGCACCTGGACAGCTTGGCTGTGTCCTGTGAGAGGTGGCCACTGTTGGAAGCCCACAGGTGATCTCCTCCCAGCCCCACCTGGCAGCAGGGAGCTGCTTCGGAGAGCTTCTCTCTGCCCCTCACTCTTGGGGGGTGGTCCAAAAGTAGAGGGAGTTTTCTCTCATTTGCTGCATGAGAAGTGGCTTGCAGTGAGAAGCTTTTCTTTTGGAGGTTTTCTGGTGTCCAATTACTGCTTAGACTGTGAAGCAGTGATCTTTTAGTTTCTTTTAACTGCCTTTCTTTGGGGTCACAGGGACTTGGGGAGAGGTTGCGTGGGGTGGAAGCAGCTTTGCTTGCACTTTTGGGAGTTGATTTGTGAAGGTCAGAGAACAATCCCTCTTCTGTGCAGAACAACTTCATCAACCTGAGCTTCCTTCGCCTCTTCAGAGCCGCACGGCTTATCAAGCTGCTCCGGCAGGGCTACACCATCCGCATTCTGCTGTGGACCTTCGTCCAGTCCTTCAAGGTGGGCAGGGCACTGGGTGGGCAGGTGGGGCAGCCCTCACCAGGTGCAGGTGCTTTTTTTTTTTTTCCCTGGCATTTGGACTCGGGGCCTAATGCAGGCACTTTACCATCAGAGCCACACACCTAGTCTTCTTTGTTTTTGTTATTTTATTTGTTTTCCAAATAGGGTCTCAGGTTTATGCCCTGACTGGCCAGGAGCATGATCCTCCTACTTATGCATCTTGCGTAGCTGGGACAGTGGGCATGCAACACTACACCCAGCTTTCGTTGGGTGGTCTTGCCACCTTTTTGCTGGGGCTGACCTCAAACAGTGATCCTTCCAATCTCTGCCTCTCACATAACTAGGATTACAGGTGTGAGCCACTGTGCCTGGCTTGCCTTCTCTGAGGCTTCCCTGACCCATGTCAGAGTGGCCTCTCCTTCTGGATGACTGAGTAGGGGCAGGACATCTCTTTGTTGGCACCTGTTGTCCTATTACAGTTTATATAGCCATTTTGAGTGACCCTTAGATTATCTTTTTTAAGGCCCATAAAATTGTGAGGAGGGTTTTGTGATCCCATTTCACAGATGAAGAAACAAAGGATAGTCATTTGGTGGAGGGGCTTGACAGTCAGCAGGGTGGAGCTGGGCTAGTCTGAGGTCTGTGTAGCCTCAGAGATGCCCTGGAGCTGACGTGCCTGTGTGTCTCCAGGCGCTGCCCTATGTGTGCCTCCTCATTGCCATGCTGTTCTTCATCTACGCCATCATTGGTATGCAGGTAGGTGCTGCTACCCAGACAGGGCTGGACGTGGGGCTCCTGTCTACTGCGGCAAAGGGCATGGGCCACAGCCATTCGCCTTTAAAAAAATCAGTGTATATTCATTGTACAAGGGGTTTTACCATGCTATTTTGACATAAAGAAACCTACTGAAAGCTGTTGAAAAATGGGCGGTGGGGGGTGAGGATGGGGAAAAGAGAGAACATAAAGAGGGTTAATCTGATCAAAACACTTACTTACTGAATGTTTGCTGTGAGCCAGATGCTGGTGTAAGCACTGAGTAAACTTAATCCTCAGCAGCAATGCTTTTTGGAGGAGGACACTGAGGCCACAAAATTGGGCTCCCAGTATCCAGCCCTTTGCCCACTCCCACCACTCTGGGAAGCTGTTCTTCAGTGTTCTTGAGGGGCTGGGTAGCCTTTAAGCCCAGCAGGGTTCAGGTGTTCAGGCAAACGTTGTTGAGCTGGGCATTGGAGCAGATCTGCATGGTGCCAAGTGGCCATTCTCTTGCCCACAGCTAGTCGGAAGAGCAGCCCTCCCCATCCTTTCCAGGTTCCTGAGGAAATGCATCTTGAGAGTATAAGCAGGATCCCGTCAGATCACTGAACTTGAGTGACTTAGATTTTCTTTATTTTGACAAAGATCACTTTGTCAAGTATTTGTAAAAAAACATTTAGAAGATGTAAAACTATAAACCTTGGCCACTGTCCCAATAGTGGGAATGGGAGATAGACCAAGTATTAATTTGTGATGGGAGATGCCAGTGTCTTAAAGTTTAAGCTGTTTTCTAAGACTTATTTCAGATTGAAAAGTTCTCTTGATTTAAAAATTTCTGAGATTTTATGCTTTGTAAAACAAATGTATCTTTATCTATACCTATATATTTGTGTATTCTTGCCTCTGTTTGTATGTACAAGAGCGTATGCGTTGCTGATCTTTGTGGAAATATGATACTTATAAATTTTCAGCCAGATTCCAGATTTTAGGATAATTATGGCTCTTGGCTTATTTACGTTTCTTACCCTGAAAGCTTTCCATCTCACATAGTAGAGCCTGGCCCTATTCATCCTGGTCACTCACATGTGTACCTGTAGGCAGGTTCAGAGCTGCAGCAGCACAGGCTGAGCTCTGGGGTGCAGGTTTTTTCTGCTAATAGAGATTGTCTGTGCTGAGAACCACACTGGCCCCAGACAGCCCCTGTCCCAGGGGTTCCCTGCATTGCACCTACATGCTCTTGTCTGGTCTATCAGCCATGGCTCCAGAGATCAGCAGTGTATGCATACTGCCATTCTTCTCCATTTCAGGTTTTTGGAAACATTGCCCTTGACGATGACACCAGCATCAACCGGCACAACAACTTCCGTACATTCCTACAAGCCTTGATGCTGTTATTCAGGTGTGTTTGTCAGCCTGCGCCATCCACTCTTCACTCAGAGTGGAGGAGGATAGGTGCCATCACTGGGGACCAGTTCCTCCCAATCTCCAAATCATGCTGTTTCCCCTCAGTGAACCTTTCTAGTTCTTCCCTTCTCTCTGCTCATCCTTCCAGAAGAGTTCTTGGTGTCTGCTCTGGCCTTGAGACGGAGCCCCTGAGGAAAAGAACCTGGAATCTCTGGGTCAGGCCAGCCTCTTCCTTGCCTCTGCTAGTGACAGCCAGAAGGCATTCAGGGAGGCTGTAGTCTGGAAGGACAGGAGGTGCCTGGTGGAGTCCCTCTTGATATGCTGGTCTCAGGCTTTCCATGTGCTCACCTTATTGGTGGGTGAGAGAGAAGCAGAGCAACAGAGACAGCTGATGCTGACTAACTAGCTGCATCAGGGTTTGCAGCTAGTTAGTGGCCTGAAGAGCTCAACTGGCCAGAACTGGTGATCTGAATGTGCCTCCACCTTCCTCCCTCTCTCAGAGGATCTGCAATTCCTAGATTATTGGATGTATCCAGCCAAGCAGCAGGTGGGCCCTGGGGGCCAAAGGCCCTCACCACAAGCTGTAGGGCCTTCAGATCCCCCATTTCCTGAAGCGGCGCCCTCAGGAGCAGGCTCAGCGCTAGTCACTGTTCTGGAGCGTGACACATTCTCTGGACTGGGCGTCCACCATCCTGATCTGAGAGTGAACTTGTGGGCAGGAGGGAGGGTTGAATGTGTTTCCCTGCCTCCTAGTCTTCCTGATTTTGGCACCCACAGCCCTAGGGAGGAGGGAAGGAGCTATCTGTAGGGATTGATGGTGAGTGATGCCGACCTCAGAGCCTATCTTGGGGCTCTTTCCTGAGGTTTCACCACGTCTATTCCTTTATGACATGCAACAGGCTGTTAAAGGCTAGCCCTGGGGACTCACTCTCTCCTTCCACCATCTGCACTGCAGTCTATGGCAGTTCCCTGGGAGGAGAGTGAGTGAGACCCAGACCTGCTTTACTGAGCTGCCTGGAGGATAGTCTCTGACTTGTTTCTGCGTAAGATGATTTGGCATCTTTAGTCTTCACTTTCGCAAATTGTGTTGCTTCTCTGGGCTTAGTTGTTTAGGTTAATATTATTTCTTCACTTATCAGTCTTATGCCTCATGCCACAAAGACTTGAGGTAACTATGAAAACCCCCGGGGTGTGTGTCACCAGGGAGTGCCCCATCAATCAGGCTGGCTCAGGCAGAGCAGCCTATAGTGACTCCCTCCCCACTGTCCTGGTGTCATAAGCAGGCAGTAGTCCCTGCGCTGGCCTGGGTGTGAAAGTCCCGCATGGATCCCCAGGTGGCTGCCCGGGGTGGCGTGGGTTCCCAAGCTGTTTGAGGAGTATCTACTCCTCACTCCAGTGTGAGAGTGGACTGAGCAGGAGTGAGAGGGGCAAGGTCAGGAGAAGAGAAGGCTGTAAGCTCCTGGGGCTGAGGGTAGGTGTGTGCGACTTTGGGTCTCTGCAATGAGTGAGGGAAGGCACAGCAGGGTTTTGAGAGAAGTGACAAAACTGACCTGCACTTCTTGTACTTACTGGGGTTCTGTGCAGGCAGAGCTGGGAAGTCAGTTAAGAGTTCTCAGGGGCATCTTGCTTGGCCCAAGGGTGAGAAGGGAGAGAGCTGGCTGCTCTCTGAAGGTAGATGAATGGATAGGCAGGATATAGAGGGTAGCGGCAAGGATGAGGCCAGCATTTTTGACTTAAGCAGCATAAGAGGCAGAGCCACTGTTTTTGAAAGTGAGGAGGATGGGGATGGCACATTTAGGGTGAGGTCAGGAATCTGAGGGGCTCTGTTGTGTCCACAAAGACCACTGCGGTGCTGGCTCCTAGTGCTACAGACTTCTTTTAGTGACCAGCGTCTCTAAGTTAGTGACCAGTTTGTAAATCTTCTTTTGAAGAAAGAGCCATCTGCCACCTAGGACTTGCACATGTGTGGGAACCCAGAAGAATGGATACACTCTGTCCAGTTCTCCTGAGGGCTTTGCTGCCCTGATTCCTGACTGGCTAGGAACCTAGGTATTACTGGAGACTCCCCTCTGGACCTGCCTTTGTGTGCTTACAGCTCTGCTCTTCTTCTCAGGAGTGCTACTGGGGAGGCCTGGCACGAGATCATGCTGTCTTGTCTGGGTAACCGGGCCTGTGACCCTTATGCCAACGCCAGTGAGTGTGGGAGTGATTTTGCCTACTTTTACTTCGTCTCCTTCATCTTCCTTTGTTCCTTCCTGGTAAGTCCTGGTAGCTGTGCCAGTGTCTGCTGTTTCACCCATCTCATAGTCCACATCTCCTGTTGGTTTCTGCCTTTGACCCATGTAACAACACAAGCTGATTCCATGTTTTGACTTTTGTTTTCCCCAAAGTTGATGGCCTCATTAACTCTAGAAAGGACACACTTGGGATGAGCTCCTGTGGGCCCAGTCTTGACTTCCACTGAAGGCTTAGGCTTCTGGGGAAGTTGCCTTCAGTGTCTAGTCTTTAGATAGGTCTCCACTGTGGTGAAGGAGAGTGAAGAAGCAGCTCCCAGCAGCATGCCTGGCACCATGAGTGAGGCAACAGTAGCCTAGAGAAAGAGACAGGGAATCAAGTGGCATTGGGCTGTGTTTTAAAGGTAGAGCTGACCTGATTGAAAAACAGAAATGAAAGCCACTTCCTAGAATTTTCTCAGTGATGGATGAGGGCTCTCCTTCTGAAATGGGAAGCATGGAAAGCAGTAGACATGAGTTAGATAGTGGAGACTTTAGACACTGTTGCAGACCTCTGGGCTGGAGATGTGAGTGGTTGCCACCTGTGTTTGGGAGTCTGGGGCTGGAGGACTACCCTTTGGGTCCCTGCTATAAAGTGCAGCCCAGTGACCTGTGTGTGGCTTAAACATCACTTACTGCTGCTTGGAAATGCAGATTACTGAATCTCCTTCCCCAAGATCCTATATCAGGATCTCTGAGTCTTAACAAGTTTTTAGATAACTCTGTGGATGTGAAACTTTGAGGAACATTGACATAAGGAAGGAATGTGGATTGAGAAGGATTCTGAAGGCTCTGCCTCTGGGGCACTTATAAGACATATGGGGTACTGGACCAGGAGCTGAGAAGGAGCAGTAAGTGAGGGATTGGGAGCCAGAAGACAGCAGTGCTCCTAAGGTCAAGGGAAGGAAGTGTCTTTGGAGGGAGGGAATAACCCACCTCTCAAAATCTCATTGGAAAGTAAAGTATGATGCTAGGGATGAACAGTGCAGGCCTTTGGTGCACCTTGCTAGAACAGTTTTCATCAGTGTGGTGGGAGCAAAAGCCTTCTTGTAATAATAAGAGGTAAGGGCTGGGCAGGAACAGACATCTCTTCCCAACAGTGGGCACTGTGAAGGGAGACACTTGGACCCAGGGCCATGGCACTTGAGTGGGGCCAGCCGGCACGATTAGTGTTTCTGTCCAGTCATGTTTACCCTCAGAACCAGCTTTTTCAGATTTGGGATTTCCTAGACAACCATGTGTGAGTGTGATCATAGTGTTGGATGTGGTCCATGCTGGGGACAGAGGGAGGTGAGGGCAGGAAGGAGGTGAATCGGGGCACTGTATGGACGAAGAAGCCACAGAGTGCAGGTAGTAGCAAAAGTGAGCTGAGAGGGCTGGCGGTGTGGGACATGTGATATAAAGACTTGGGACTATTACTGGAAGTCATTGGTAATGACCAACTTTAGCATGTAGACATAGGTGCTTGGAGCTGAGAAGACTGTGGTGAGAAGTCTAGGAATGGAGAGTCCAAGCAGCAACTAGCTTGGGTCTTAAAAGTACAAGAATAACGATAAGAGTAGAGGTAGAGAGTCAGATGCTAAATTTTCCTTGAAGAAAGGAGAAGGTTGGAGGATGGCAGGCTTTTAGAAAGAGGACAAGAAGGCAGACCTCCATGCTTCAGCAAGAGCAAGAAGAAATGGAGAATGTTAGAGAAGATGAAGATACAAGGATTTCTCTTGAGGGTGGATTGTGAGTTTCAGAGGTAGAAGGCTAGGTGTTTGAGAAAGGCATACATCTGAGGAACATGAAATGTGCATAGATAGGTACAGAAAAGTCTATGGAATTGTGTCTCACTCAATGCCTACAAGAAACCGAGGGGGAGGATCCCTGAGAAGACTGTGGACAGCAGGGAAGGTAGGCTTTCTACCCTCCATAGGCAGTATGGACCTTGGTACCTATGCTGCTCTGTGTCAGAGCCAGCAGGGCTGGACTGGAGTCTGAGAGTGTGCGTTCTAACAGGCACCAGATGCTGCTGGTATGGGAACCCTACTTTGAGAACTGCTCTGGTAGAGCACTCTCTGTAACCCAGAAAAAAGGTGAGAGCTGGAGACACATCTGTAAGTTGTCCCACAGCTGACCTACCTGCTGTGCTCACCTTCTACTTTCTCATGCACCACTCACTTCCATACACCTGGCCAGACACCTCATGCTGTCTGTCCTTCCTCATTTCTGCCTCAGTGGTCATCTACAAGTCAGACTTTGCTTCTCCTTGTTTCTGTCCCCCTGCCTCCTCCTTCTTCTCTGTCATCCCATCAGGGATGCCCACCTCTGCATGGATGGGTTCTTTACAGCTCAGGTCCTGGACCCTAGAATGGGGGAACCCACCCTCCCTAAGAGACTGAGTGTGAGACCTGGGGAGAGGTCCACATTTGTGTTGGAGCTGGATGGACCCAGGGCCAACATGGAGACATGAAGTGCAGCTATGATTGTCAGAGAGGAAAGGGGGCTGCAGTGTTGGTCTCACACAGGGACAGCCGGTATCATGGCTCTAGGGACAAAGTAGAGTCCGACCCTGATGACCAGGCCAGACATGCCAGCCATCAGATGTCCCCTTCCCTGACCAATCAGGGTAGCTCCCACTGCACTCATATGTCCCTCTGTCTGGGCCCTAAGGACACAGCCCTTAGCCCTGCTGTGGGCATGGAAAGGTCTCTGAGGAGTACATAGTGATGCATAGTGCTAGAGATATCCTGCCTGGTGTCAGTCTGGGCTCTGCTGAAATCCTAAGCAGGTTTGTGTATGGCAGGGCCTGGACCATGGGTTCCCCTGGGTCCCAGGAAGGGGCATCTGTTCATCCAGAGAGGGCCTGACCTATACAGGTCATGGCTGTTGGCCAGCTGCTGCTTACCCTGCACGGTTCAGATACCAGGAGAATGGTACAAGTGAGGTGAAAGGCATTCAAGTACATTGAGCTCAGAGTCTTGATGAACACCCTACCCCCAGGGGACATAGGCAGTGTCTAAGATATTTTTGGTTGTCAGGACTAAGGGAGAGGAGTTACTGGCATTGAGTGGATGGAGGCCAGAGCTGTTGCTCGATATCCCACCCAGATTACCCAGTCCAGCACGTCAGCAGTGCTAAGTTGAGACCCCTGAATGGTAAGACAATTTAGGAGGGCCAACCTAGATGGGGTTGGTGTCTGGCAGGGCCAGCTTTGGTCACAGCAGGGGGGCCTTACTACTTTACAAGGAACAGTCCTGCAGAGATGCCCTCAACCATGAGATGAGCTTATGGGGAGTTAACTCCCAGAGATAGGAGAAGGGTTCCTTTTGCAAGGGACTCCACAGTGGCTCAGGGTGGTGGTAAAGTGAGGGTCTAGTTCCAGAGAGATTCAGGGAAGAGGCCTGTGCTGCATCAGGTCTGTGAACCTTTGTGGCTGTGGCTTCCTTATTTTTAAAGGGGTTGTAGCAGCACCTCGCTCCAGGGCTTCTAGGATCAATTTAGGGCCGGGTGCACAGTGCTCAGACCACTATGCGCATCCTTCCAGCATCTCAGGAGACACTACTCAGGGGAACACCTCAAGGGAGGGTGCCCAGGAGTTCATGCTAGAACAAGAAGTGAAAAAATAGGCAGGTAAGACAGGGAGGCATCTGGGAGCCTAGCATTGAGCTGGGGCCTGGAGTATAAGTTTATGTGTTTATGATTGGCTTGGGTGGGCACTGCTCATAGGCCTGGGAACATGGTGGAGCCTCAGCTGGAGCCTCTGAATACAGAAAGTGTTTCAGAACATGAGGGGATGGCAGACCATGTGCCCTCTTAAGACTGACCCAGTGCCTTTTCCTTAACCAAAGCAGAAAAGGTATGTGGGCCGCCTGGGACCTGCTGAGTAACTTATGTTTTGAAACACTTGGGTCAGGTTTGCTGTGACAGAGAAGTGAAGTAAAAAATGGATTTTTTTTGGGGGGGGGATGGGTGACAGGTGTAGGGAAGATTGAGATTTGGTCTCCTTGACTAGAATAGAGGGCATTGACGGAACAATAGGAAGCAACGGTGGTGATGACATGCAGATACCATGAGTCAGATACCATGCAGTCTTGTGAGTATATTAAATCAGTCTTTGTAACACTATCCAGGTTATTATTATTATCCCAGTGAAGGGATGGACATATAGAGATGTTTAAGATCTTAGGCAGTGTGTGTTTAGAACTCAAGCCTTTGAAATTGACAAATTCCTAGAAGGACACAAACTACTATACCCAACTCAAGAATAAGTAGAAAATCTGAGCAGCCCTATAACAAGTAAGGAGATTGACTCAGTAATAAGAAAACCTCTCAACAAAGACAAGCCCAAAACCATGTAGTAGTGAAAGGGTAGTCTTTTCAACAAATGGCGTTGGGAAGACTGGATATCCAAGTGTATATGTCATAGATAAAAATGATCTCAAAATTAGTGAAAGATTAAATGTAAGAACTTAAATTCTAAAACTCTTAA